TTTGTTTTTTTTTTTAAACCGGTAAGGGGATCTTAACCCTTGACTTGGTGTTGTCAGCACCACGCTCAGCCAGTGAGCGAACCGGCCATCCCTATGTGGGATCCGAACCCGCGGCCTTGGTGTTATCAGCACCGCACTCTACCGAGTGAGCCACGGGCCGGCCCTGTGGTTTTGTTTTATAGGTCCTGTACTCTTATGGTTAAGTAGCTAGAATGTTTTTTGTTGCTGTTGAGAATGTGATTTTTATTATTTTTTATACTAGTTCTTGTTGGTCATAAGGTAAATATCAACAGTTCCAATGTCTTTAATATTTCAATTGGTTCTTTTGGGTTTTCCATTAATGTCTTTTAAATACTGATAATGTCTTTCAAATGGTAAATATGCTGTTTTAGATTTGTATACCTCTCATTGTTTTCTTGTCTACTTACATTGGCTAGAATTTCTAGAACAGCATTAGAAAAGTGTGGCTAACAGGCACTTTTGACTTTTCTTTATTTTAATGGAATAAGTGGTATACGAGTGTTTTCACCACTAACCATAATGCTGGTTGTTGACTTGAAGGGTATCTGAGAATGGATCAATCCATTTATGAGGGCATAGTCCTCACAATCTAATCACCTCTTTAAGACCTCACCTCTCAATTACTGTAATAGGTAATTATTACCATAATTTTTCTCATAACAATATAATGTAGATTAAGTTTCCAATACATGAACCTTTGGGGGACACATTTAACCCATAGCAGTGTATTTACACAAACCTAGGTGATATAGCCTACTACACACTTAGGCTATATGTTATAGTGTATTGTTCCATTGTGAGTAATGCATTGCACTACAGTGTAGCTGTCACTAGGTGATAGGAATTTTTCAGCTGTGTTATAATCTTATGGGACCACCGTCACATATGCAGTCTTTCAATGACCAAAACATTATGCTGTGCATGACCATAGCTTTATTAAGCTATGTCTTGGTGTTGCTCCACTTGTAACATCTTTTCCTGGTATATAGTGAATACTTTCGATCTGTATGTTTAGGTGTTCCATCATTTATGAAAGTATATTTTATAAATCTGTCTTTGAGTAATTTTGTTTCAAGTGTTGTTATCATTCAAATATTTATTGAATACTTACTCTGTGCCAGGTTCCGTACAAGTCAATGGGGATACAGTGGTGAGTAAAATAATCATGATCCCTTTCTCCCTGCCCTCACACACGTCAGTCAGGCCTAGGTTGTATATAAGTGCACTTTGTTCATACCACTGATGGCTCATTACATTGTGTCGCAACTGCGTTTCTGTCATTCCCAGCCAAGATGGGAGCTTCCTGAAACTCAAGCACTGTGTCTTGTATACTTGGACTCCCTGACACATGGGGAGGATCTCAGTAAATAATTGAGTAAATGGCCTGATTTTATTGAAATGCTGCTCCTGTTCCTTAATTTTCTCCAATATTTTGCTCTCTGCCTACCAAGTTTGTCTGTTTCTACCTTTGTTCTTATCCTCATCCCTTGCTTGTCATTGTTCTATGTGCCATTCTTTGCCTTCTGCAGCGTATCAGCTCCTACAATATTTTTTCTATCACTGCTCACTTTTTCTACCACCATATGTTTAATGTCCATAATGTGTCTCCTCTTTTTACCATTGCGTCTTCTATTCCAGTATAACTGTTTCTGAGAACAAGGAACAATATTGGAAGGTGTTTGGTTTTATTCAGTCTGTACTTGCTGGTTTTATTCCTGCCATCTAGTGGCTGAATCAGGATCTACAGCATGACATAGGCGTGTCTTGACTTTTCCTGACTGTAGCCAGTTTGAACTGTGTTGATATTACCTGATTAATCTCAGTATTGTTCCCGTCTTATTTTTAAGGATCCGCATGTTGGTATTTTGGGATTAAGGTTACAAATCAATCCTGCTTTGTGTCGTTTTTGTCCTTAGCCATCTGTTTTTTTACCATGAAAACACCATAATCTTACACTAACCAGTTTCAGATTTTAGTCTTACAGTGTGTATTAATTGGCATAGGTAATTCTGTGGTAAAAATGTTAATATACATAAAATATTATCAGTAACATTAACTGATTATAAGAGATTGCCAAATACCACTAAATTATAAGTAGTGTTTGAGTAACAAATTTTCCTCAGATCTTATTTATTCATTCAGAAGCAGCTATTAGTTTTCAAAGAGGCATCAAAAGGGGTTCTTAACTCATTACAGGAAATGATAAACCTCTGGCATTTACTATTGGGAGATGAGGTTCCTATCCCACTCAATATTCTCATCAGTTTGGGAGCCAGAAAATCTTCTCTTCTGCGGGTTCACTCTCAGTCTTTTCCTTATTGTAACTACAGCTTACTTTTTCTTTTCAATATATTTTATAATCAGTTTATACCTACCATCACTGAAAATAAATGTACTACTGAACCACACTGACTGGTTTTTTTTTAAGACTATATCATCAGAATATTTTCTATTTTGAATTTCAAAAATAAAGTATCATCAAATATTAGTCTATTTTCTATAAAATAATACAATTCAATTAAAAATGTTTGTTGAAAACCTGTTCATCTTGATAATGAGCTTCAGTTCATGTTAGTATTTGCTGATCTGTATCTTAAAGCATTCAGTTTCACTATTTGATTTGATTTGGTGGAAATTAATACTAGTTTATCTCTGTAGGTAGAAATCACAATATTTCTGTGATGAAAAATTTTGACCTTTTTTTGTTTTTAAACCCTTCAAATTGCACATATATGAACATTTTAAATTAAGAAAGCAGTCTCGACCAGTGTCTGAATATCTTTAGTTCAGTCATTGTCATGCCTTGTAAGCATGATTGGGTTAGTCTGTTCTTTCCAGGATTTAAAAAATATTTTTTTTTTCCTGGTTGTGGCAGTGTTTTTAACCTTGCACGGCGGTATTAAGGACAAACATTTTAGTTTTGTTCTATTTTTTCTTTTGCTCTTAACAACATGATGCCATAGCGGAGATGAAACCTCTGCTCTAACCCTTGCCACATGAGATTGAATGGTCAATAGCAATTTTTTTTTCTGCACCAAGTTAGAGGGTGAGATAATAGAGGTGAGTTGTTTTTTTGTTTTTATTAAATTTAATTTTTTTTCCAGACATACACACTATAAGTTTTTTGGTGTTTTTTTTTTTTTTAAATCACTGTAGTTAGATATCCCTCTTTGACTATTAGACCTGGAAATATGATCATATTTAGCAGTTTCAAATGCATTGTACCACTAGAGGATACATAACTTCTAATCATCTGTAAAGGAGAAACTAAAAACATTTGAAACTTTCACTAGCTTTCAATTTGAGGCATTGGGGGTTTTAGGAAAAAACTCCATGTTGAAGTTACCAAGAAAAGCCCTAGCTTTTTATTATTTTGGTTATATCTTTTATCCTGAAAAGCAACCATCTTACAGGGATTCCAAAGGTCTAAGTATGTTCTTGTCTGTAAAGCTAGATAGTTTTGAACTTGATACCCACCCAAGCCACTTCCCAGTGATTTTTGAGGATTGATGAAAATATTTTTATTACACTGGTAAAATGTTTCTATGTAACTACAAAGTGGTATTTAATATTAGTGTTATTATAGGTATTTTTTAAAAATTCTGAAATGACTTTAGATACATTGCTCCCTACTTAAGAGTCTGCTTTTTGCTTTCTTTTCCTCTTTTCTTCATTCCTTAAGGTACCAAGATCAGCTACAAATTTTTGAAATTGCTTTAAAATTGGGCTCCATTAAAGCTATAGGCTAAGAGTGTTGACATAGGAATGTCTTCTCATATGACTTTTTATCCATTGATTATGTCTATAGTTCAATATCTTTGTTTTGTTCTCAAAGAAAATGACTAATATGTCCAGGAATAAATTAAAGTCTTAGTGATACATAAAGTAAATCAAGTCATTTTGTTTCTGTACTTAGTATGACTTACGCTTCATCCACAGTTAATTTTGATATATTTTAAAGTCCCTGTGAACAAATAAAAATGTTCATAAGTGAAAAGATTTTGTAGAATAAGGGGAAAAGGGACTCAGAAGTGTGATTGTAAATCAAAACTTCATTTCTTATTTTGTTAAGACCCATTCAGCAGGTCTGTGAAATCAAACTATTTTTATAATGATGCTGAGATAATATTTGCCTTTTGCACTGTCATTCTCTCATGAGCGTACAGTCAAGTTTTCCAGAGATTACATGATATGTGATGATATAATCACTTTGACAGCTAATGGAACGTATGTTTGTGCTTTAAAAATTTCTGAGTTTCATTTTCATAATACAGTAAATAGCGATAGATATAGTCTATGATTTTTAAGAGTTTAAAGGAGTCTTGAGACCAAAGTTTGTGAACCATTTCTCTATGGCATTGTTAAATTGAAGTTGCAGACTTGTTCCTTCTCATTTCTTGTTTATTGAAGTGATTACAGTTTTTTTTTTTAGGAACCATAACCTGTTCTCTTTCTGCTCTTTCAGGGAATAGAATGTGAGTTTTAAGTGTGGGTGGTACAATTTAGGAAGTTGGTAATAAACAATTCTTGCGTAAGAACTTTCTTTTTAACACTACTGGCCAGGGTGACTGTCTTATGATAGGATATGCTTTCATCATTGGAGGGGTCAAAGCGTAGACCAGATAACTATTAATTGAGTATTTTAAAAGATGATTAATAGTTCAGGTAGGGAACTGTACTAAGAGGGATCTAATAATATAAGGCTCATTTAAAAGACACTTAAAATCCTAAAGTTTTGGACCTGGAATTACTTTGGCTGCATGTGAATCTTAACACTAACAAATAGAGTGGAGTTCTTGTTAGTTGGTATCACCCAGTTAAATTCTTTCCCATTAAATTATTTTAAAATTTAAAATGAATTACAAAAATGGACCTTCCAATTTGTTAGTTCTATTTATCTATTTTCTTTCTCCCATATAAAATGTGGTAAATTTAATCAACTTGCTTACTTTTCTTTCCCCCCATGTATTTTATTTCAGTTGGTCGAATTATGTTTCAGCTCTTCTCAGACATATGTCCAAAAACATGCAAAAACTTCCTTTGCCTATGCTCTGGTGAGTGAATTATTAAATTATTTCCAATGAGAAGTCATGGCTTACAGTTTTACCTTGCTTAACAGAGTAGATATTTTCCTGGAAAAGCAGTGGGCTGTGAAATGAGTTTTGTAAATAAAAAAAAATTATTTTCACTGACTTCTATATGAAATCAGGGAAGGATTTTTTAAGGGGAAGAGAGGAGAAATACTCTCAAAAATGAAAAAGAAAGTAAGAATCTATATAATGGGATCTTCTATACATTGTAGTTTATAAAATAATAGCACATATTTAAAACTGATTTGTCTTGGTAGAATTTTACAAATTTTAGTATTTTGAATAAATTTAGCATTCTAGATTTTGTAAGAAATTTAGGGTTAGAAGGTAGAGAGGCAAAACTTAATGAAGTTGTTCTTTGTTACATATGATTGGATTCGTATTTTAAATAAGTAGAAAAAATGGGGAGGAAAAACATCTTTAACGTTACTTTAAAATTAGAAATAGCAAACTAAATTTTTAAAATCCATACTTGGATACACACACACACACACACACACACACGGGCACACACACACCCCTTTGCACCAGCACACACACACACCTTTGCACCAGCACATGCACACACACGCACACAAACACACCCCTTTGCACCAGCACACACACACACACACACCCCTTTGCACCAGCTGCTTTGTATTTTGAGTTTTGTGCATGTGTATATATGTTAAATTGTCATGTCATCTATTTCTTATATCTCTTACAGTGCCAGCACACAGGAGGGGTTTGACAAAGGATTAATTGGTTGATTCTTTCCATGGAAAGATGTGTTCGTAGCTAAACTTCATTTTTTTTCCTCCAGGGGAGAAAGGCCTTGGGAAAACAACTGGGAAGAAGTTATGTTATAAAGGTTCTACATTCCATCGTGTGGTTAAAAACTTTATGATTCAGGGTGGGGACTTCAGTGAAGGTAGAGCTAAAAGTTATGTTCCTAATAACTTCATCTATCAGTTTTTAAAGTATTTCATTACTACTTGTAATTGTAAATATGTCACTTTTAGTATGATTTCAGTATTATGTGGTCAGTGAATAGTTGCTGGATGAAAAAATGTTGTAGATCCAGAATGCATGAAAAAGGAAAATACTGAGACATTTTATTTTGTTTTTATTTAATTTATTTTCATAATACTATAATTACTTGTTGAATTCTCTTTAAAATGAATGCCAATGTACTGTCTGATTGCTTTTGCTCAAGAATTTTGTTGCTGTGATTACTGTTTGAAATAAGTGGATCGTGGAGATCATTTTACTAATGGCATTTATTGTAATGGGATTTGACTTATATTTTAAAGATGAAGTTAATTGAGGACTGTTAGAATTTTGGTTATCTGCAGCAATTGCAAGGTTCAAGGTTTCCTTCAGCAAATTAAAACCATCAAAAATAATTGATGTATATTAGTATATTTTTAATTGTCATTGTGGCTTAATGTAGCTCATTATTTGCAGGTAATGGAAAAGGTGGAGAATCAATTTATGGTGGCTTTTTTAAAGGTAGGCTTAATATTTTATGGTCTTTTATTTCAGTTCTGATATTAAGGCAAATTTGATCATATACTTTTATTGAGAAGAGGTTTACTTTTAGTTCACTTTTTGCATGAAACTAATGCTGCATGAAAATACTTTATTTGCATGAATTTGGGGATAAATTATATTGTAATATGTAACTTTTAATTGACAAGATTAATTAAGGCTAACTTTATGGTTAAACATGACTTTCAGCATGGAGGTTAGGCAACTATATACATGAAAACTCCTATCTTCCTGCCTAAAACTGTCAACATATTCTTTTGTTTATAGAGAATGTGGTCTTTTGCAAAATGAAAAGGTAAGAGAACGAAGCTCAGTAACACAAACTCCAATTCTGTTCCCTTGTACCCTTCCTAATAAAATTATGGACAGTCTGGGTCAGGTTGTGGCTGGATTTCTATATTGCTTGAAGACTTGGAAAATTCTGTGTATTATTTCATATATGCATCTGTGTCTTTTTTCTTTTCCCAATGGGTTATTAGTCCACAGCAGGGAAAAGAATCTAGTTGTGTTTTTTTCCTCCCTCTAAATCAAGCAATTTCTTTGAATAAAAGTTGATATTTCCTCCTTTCTTAAAGGTTTGTATGTTTTCTTTTGTATACTAGAACTATTTGACTGTTTCATTCCTACAACAGTAGCATTTGCATAAATTTAACTATTGCACTTACCCCAAAAAGCCTTAGAAAAGTCAGTTGCAGAGATTTATAATGGGATCCAATATTACTAGGTTTTAACGATATAATAGCTTCAGTATTATAATAGTCTTTTATATTTCCTTTGGGGGGAAATGGATTACTACTCTTTTTCAGAAGGCCGTTCCCAAGGTAATCCTTTTTTAAAGTTTTCTATGTTTCTGTTTGTTCTAAAGAAAGATTTGTTTGTATGAATGTTAAAAGGAAATTTAAATTAGTTTTCAAGGATATTTCTGGAATTAAGATTATCTCTAAGTGATCTTTATGACAGATATTTTTTCCTTTGAACTAGTAGGAAACAGCTGTTTGGCTGTTCTATTAGCATGTAGCAATTTAAAACTAATGTTCTAGGCCACTTTAATGTGGTTGTCCCCTGTGCCAGATACTTTTGTATCTTAAAATTAAAATTTTTGTCTTTACAGCACTTTCTTAGATAATTTAGTGATCCTGTTGATTATCCACATAGTTAATTTAATTTAGACATATCTTTACAACTTAATACATGTCATTTTTTCGTTTTTGCTCTCATAGTCTAGCTTCAATTCAGTTGAATAATAAAGTTACCATATAAAAATTAAGCACGTAAGAGGATCATTAACCTTCTCTGAAGTATAGTGCATTAGGCTGGATAATGGGAAATTTGAAAGAAATGAGCTTTATGATAGAGATTTTTCTAAAAATTTCTTCCTTAGTTTTCCCTGAAAGTTGATAGTTTAAATATCATTTAGCTTAAGTATGTTTCTACTAAAAGTGACTGTTCTAAGGCTGTTCGTATGAAGTATTAAATATATGTTCTTTACCTCAAGACTTTAATTAGTATCTTTTGGCTTTTTTATGCTTTTGTTATTTGATTAGTTTAAATTTTTTTCTAAATATTCAGTCAAGTGTCTGTACTGACCAGAAGAGGAATTTCATCCTTTGCTTTCTATTTATTTACTTGAACATTACTTTAAAAGTGGCTTATAATTAGACACTGACGAATTTGTGTTTTCTTCAAACAGATGAAAACTTTATTCTCAAACATGACAGAGCGTTCCTTTTGTCAATGGCAAATCGAGGGAAACATACCAATGGTTCCCAGTTTTTCATGTGAGTAGGCATAATCCAGAGATGAGCTTTTCTTAAACAGAGAAGCGCTGTTCATGAGAAAGATGGTATAGTTAGACCAAGTTTAATGCTAAAATTCTGTCAACTTTGGTTTTATTATTAATTTCTAATGTTATAGTAACCGGTAAGCTCCAACAACTGCCTCAGCATTCAGCATAATATCCTGGATTTGAATAATGGGACTTAAAAAATGTAACTTGAAGATACACATTATTTTCAAAATATGTTGTCATCTTAAGAAAAGAAATTGACCCCTACCAAATTTGGAGACTCAGTTTACCAAAACTACATAGGAACATAAACTATTGCTGAACATTTAAAAATTGTTCATAGTATAGGACCAGATATACACTTGGCATGGAAAGCAGTTGGTTTGAGTAAACTATTAAATGGTTGTTTTTTTCTCTTACTAATGCTCTTAGAGCCAATTTTGAGAGAGGTGACATTATTTTCTGATGGTGTATAAAGATAGGTGATTTGCTGTTGAGCTAGCATTTAGAAAAACTCACACTTCATGAGGTCTCTATGCATAATTAAATTAACCCAATGTTGCTGTCATTTCTACCTAAATTTATAATGTGATTATCACTCAGGAATTTTCAGACTGCTAAATTTGCTTTTGAAAAAACAAACAGGGCTGGCCCGGTGGCGCACTGCTACGGTGCACCGCTTGGGAGCGCGGTGGCGCTCCCACCGAGGGTTCGGATCCCACATACAGACCGGTTCCCGCTCACTGGCTGAGCGAGGTGCGGGCGCAACACCGAGGGTTGCGATCCCGTTGCTGGTCCCAGTCCAGTACGGGTGCGACACTGAGGGTTGCGATCCATTGCCGGACATGAAAAAAGGAAAAAAAAAACAAACATCTTTACACGTATATGCATGCACAACCAAAAATGTATTTCTCATCTGAAAATCATAAATGAGAGCTTTGGCATAACTTTTAATTATATTCTTATCTAAAGCTACTACTACAAAACCTATTTTTATTATAATCCTGTCATAAAATGTGAAAGATAATTGTCCAACATGAAGTTTAATGCTTTTGATTGGAAGTAAATCTGAGTTGTGCTAGGTATGTTGGAGAATACTTTATTTATGATTTATCAGGAAAAGTTTTCTTTGTCATCTTTCTGAATGGGTGAGTATGAATGGCGCTTCCCTGTCTTTAAAGGAGTCAATTATTCATATTTAAAAAACTCACATTTTAAATTTTTCTGAAAAATAGATTTCCAACATGATCTGATAAAGTTCAGATAAGGGGCATTCTGTTCCTATAATGTCCTAAAAATGGAAAGCTAATAAAGGATGATTACAGGAAAAAGACCCAAAATAGTGGTTCCTGTATCTTGTTTTGATCCCATAGATTATTAATTATTACTTTTCTTTACTAGAATATTTTTCTATTCTTAACCTTCTTAAGGGCCAATAAAAAGGTAGACAGAAATATTTTCAAAAACTTTTCTTAATAGTAACTTAATGTAGAAGCCGTTTACTCTTTGAGGTTCCTCATTTCCATTTTTAAGCTTATCTGAACTGTGAACGTGAAAAACTGATTCATTGGTGAAGAAACTACTATCTGAGGGCTCTAAAGTTTCTTTTAGATTTCCTTTTGGTATAAAATACATTTAAAATTTGAGTTATCATGTAGCAGCAACTTATTGCCATTGTTACATACAGATTAGCTTGTTTATAAAATGTTGGAGTTAAAACTGGTTCACCTTCATACATTAAAATCCAGTACATAAGATTCTTCCTTCTACAAATTTAGAGTATCTCGTCTTTATGTTATTTAGTACTTGCCTAAGTCTTTTTTAGGAGTATTTAGTAAAGACCATTAATGTTTTCTGCATGGCCAAATTTTACATTGGACTGCTATTTTTGAAGAGGAATGTCAAATGAAGATGTTAACATCAATAAATTAGGATTAAAATTTTTAAACTTGTTTTCATAATTAACTGTAGATGGCACTAAAATCACTAGGAACTTGTAACCAAAAGAAAATTTTCTACTTTTAGTTTGAAGTTTACTCCTCAAAAGGAGTTTGCAGTTAAAACAATCTTGGCAAAAGCAAAAGTAATTGAGTGTTTTTGCATGCACACAAAAAATCTTCATCTCCTTTTTTAAAATAAGTTTTTGTACCTATATGCTTCTTTCTGCTGGCTAAAAGTACTAGTTCCCTTGAGTTCCATGATAAAATCAACCTAACGTTCATGTTTCTGAATAAAACATATCCTTTCCTTTATGGAAAGGATAGGTAAAATGGAGATGGTGGCCCATAAAAGAAAAATCATTGAAATATGATGCTATGTCTTGCAAGTCCAAATCCTTTTGGAGTTGAAAGTAGTAAAAAGTATAATGTACTTTCTTCAAATTCTGTATGTAATCACAGATAATAGTTCTGATGGTCACAGAGCTAGCTCATGGCTTCCCAAGGGTAGTTCCTTGCTTTTACCCTGTTACCACTTCTCATGTGGCACTTTGAGCAGCAGTTCCGGAAAAAGAAAGAATAGTATAGGAATGGATGGTGAAATAAAAAGAACTGACTTTATAGTTCCTGTTTTGTAGACCAAATAAGGACTTTTAATACATATTTGCAAAATTGTATTGGTAGCTTATATTATAAATCTGTTACTCTGCAATTCCTAAGGAGTAAATTTGGTGCTGTTAGTGTGTGGGTGTTTCCAAAATGTCCTTCAAGGATCCTTCTGCTTTGTGCATTAACTATTGTCTTCATTACTTACACGCTTTAAAACTTCCCCTTTCTAAGGCATACATCATTTTTATTAAACATAATTTTGCATATATTGCTTTATTTGGCTGGAACAATTATGTATATGATAAAAATCAGATTTTCTACTATAAAGCTATTTATAATTTTTAAAGTAACTGCTTATATCTACTACTGTATGAGTCATAATGATTTTGCTTTTGGGCACCTATGTAGAAGATAATTGATTCTTTCTGGAATAGTACTGCTTGAGGAATGTGAAAGAGGTGATATATGGCACTATCCCCATGAATCACTAAGGAAACAGTGGTTCATTCACGTTGAAGCATTTTTGAAGGAATTCAAAGATTTGGGACCAAAGCTACCAAATTAATTTGGTGTTTACTCATTTTGTCCTTTTTATTATTAATTTTTTAAGTCAAAGACTAGGATGAAACCACAATAAAAGCTATAGAATTATAAAGTCTTAAAGTGGAAAGGGATTTAAGGATCATCTAGTCCAACCTTTTTGTTCTATAGATAATGCTAAATAAAATAAGGAAGAAAAACCATGCAAAGTCCAGGTTATAGAAATTTTACTCATAATCTGGAAGAAATTGATAGCTAGAAAATGAATGCTGCACAGTATAGACTACATAATTTTATTAACCACTCTACTCTGAATTTATTTTAGTTAACTGTTAGAAGCATTAAGTATTTTGCTATAAAATAAAATGACATTTGGGGAAACATTTGTTTCCCCTTTTGCTGTTAATAATAATCATAGCTTATTAATTCTGATCCCAATTTTCATTGTTTTTATGTACATTCATCAAAAAGATAAAGAAAATATTGCATAAAATAGTCATTAAAATTATTAGGTAGTTGTTTATAGCTTTGTATTAAATAACTGTTCTGGAATAGGACACTAAACTAGCTGTCAAGAAGCCTTGGTTTTAGTTTTGTTTCTTGTGTACTTGAGTTAGTTTTTGTCTTCTCTTTTTTATAAAGTATCTATCCCTATTTTCAAAGATAAACATTTTGGTGTGAAAATTTGGACATAAAAAGAAGAAAGTTATTTGTAGGGTGATACTAAATTTCTGAATATGTGGAATGATGTATGTGCAAACTTGTCTTGCCTAAAGGAAATAGTTGTGATTGCCTAATTTTCGAGTCTGAAAGGTGCCTCAAAGAAGCTTTGGGCTCATCTTGCCTAAATCAGGAGCAGCAGCAGTCTGCTCATCAGCTGCTATTAGAACTTAAGTTTGTGCAGGCCTTGTATCACAGCCATTTGGTGCTTTGGGGACCTGCAGAGCTTTGGAGAAACAGTTCCTGTCACTGGCCACTGTCAGTGGTCATGATAATTCTAAAAATGTAAGAAAACAAGGTGATATAAGTCAAACTTTGAACTTTAAACAAAAAGCATTTGTTATATTTTAACAGCTATAAATAGGACAATGGGGGGAAACCATAAGAAGTTCTAGAATATGTTTTGTGTCATTTAAGAATCAGACTTGCAAGTGGCTACTCACTTGAATAGGAGAGGAGTACTGATCATTTCAGAGTAGCAGAGCAAGGGGAGTTGAGAGTTTTAAGGAGTTTATAAAGCTATGTTGATATTTTTGGGTAGCAAAAGTAGATTTGGGGTAGAAATGCTTTTTATATTTATATTTATAAATTTGTGAGAAAAAGATGCTAATAAGTGTTAGAACTGAGTTCTAGCTCTTTCCTTTTTTTGAGTAATACCTTCATATGTTAATTTCAAAATTTTTCATAAGGAAAGATGTTCATGAAACTGAACCATAAGCCAGGTTCTCTCATTATCAAGTGTCTAGTGTTTATGTGACATATGTATTAGCAATGTGGAAGACATTTTGTATCTAATAGAGTTTGGTGTGTATTACCTTAACATTAGTGCATTTTGTACAGTTTGGTGCCTCTTCTGTGACAGTGTGATAGTTTCAGGAGCTGAAGGAAAACATTTGCATGTTGAAAGCAAATCAGATCGAAATAGATTATCTTTATTTCCCTCTTCCATACGACTTCACACCTGCAGTCACTGTTATTTCACAACATTCATTGAAAATTCCTCATTATTTCAAACATTGTTCTTTTTTGACATTCACGTATCAATGTCTTTACAAGAAATTAAATCTTTTTAAATATTTCTAGATTTAATACATCCAAAACCCCTATAAAGCATTTTGTCCATGGTATAATAGGGTTTTGGGTCTGAGTAGTAATAGATGTGTTTAAGGTTTAATACAGTTTAAATTAGTCAGTGTGTGTTCTTTGGAAAGAAAAAAAGTTCTTTATAATGGGGAGAATCAGAGATTAAACAGGAAAAGAAAATACTGTGGCCGAGATTTGACAATACACCCTTACACTTTTATCACTCTTGCCCTTTTCTCCTCTGAGAAGATTCCTAAATTCTAGTTGTGCCGCTTGATTATTTTATTACTATTATTATTATGTTCGGTGACTTAACTTCAAAGTGTATGTGGCAGGGGACAGTAACTATGGTCTAAATATTTGCTCATTAATTTCTGAAAGTGGTCTGTTATGACGTGTGACCAAAAAAAGGTTTAAATGTAGAAGCATGAAAGGTTCTTAAACTACTGGAAGTGAATTATTAAAAATTCCTTGAAATTTTGTTTGTTTGAATTATCTTAACTCAGTTTTTTCTAATGAAATCTTTGCTTTTGACTGGTAATAATTACTCCGGGGCGTTCAGATTTTTATATTTGTGTATGTATTCAAGATATACATTTTTCTTTTTTTGATAAAGATGTTAGTTGTCTTAGCTAGTTTCTTGGCTTTGTGAAAGGCAATGTAATGTTTTGTTAAGAGCTCTTATTGGCACTCTAGTGTTATAATATTAAGAATTTGAAGATTCCCACTTCAACCACAGTGCTTTTCTTAAGCATAATTTACCTCTACGTAAATACCCTGTGCGAAAGAAAATTTAGAGCCCTCCATTTTAAAAAGCTTTCTTGCTTTGCATAAAACTTGAAAATATTTAATTTCAAAGTTATATTGATATTAAAACATAGATTCAGTCTTGTCTTAAAAGTGTATTACAATTTATTTCTTGCCATTTTTGTGTAAAATTTACAGAAAGAGTGTTACACCGTGCGCTCCAAAGGTAATGTCTCATTACTCTAAGGCTCTCTCTTTCTTTCTTTGCCTTTATCTCTTTAATCCTTTTATTGTGTGCATTGAAACATTTTAAGAAAAAGAAAAAAAAAACTTTCTGCTTGATCTGTATAGCAGCAGTATGTGTAAGACAAGTGTGTTTTATTGTTCCTGGTTAATTCTGGGAAGTATATTTTAATTTCAGTGGCTTGTTTCCACCAAGTTTCTACACATCTGGAGGGGGAGAGGGGTTATATTTTATATAATGGTTTTAGATCTCATTTAAGTAGGGAACTAGTAATTTCTGCATAAGGCCAAATGCTTCTCTGATAATGGCATAAAAACAGATTGTTTTTTTGAGTAACAGTGACACTTTTCAGTTTCTAGGATTTGCAAAGTTTGAATGAACCCTTGCGCATATTTATTTTTTAAGTAGATTCATGGGTTTGGGAAACTGGAAAATCAGTGTCTCTGAGTCACTGAAGAAAATGGAAATGTGTAAATATTGAAAGGTTTTGTAATTTGAAATGTTCTTTGTGTTTTTTTCTCCTTTAGGTATATTTTCATAAGCATATATAAACTTAGCCTCTGGCCTTCTTCAGGTCTTAACTTACTGAGCATATGTCACCACTGCAAGGTTTTTTAAGTAGTTGTACAGGTTTGAAAGATCAATATAATTAAGTTAGTGGGATAAGGTCTCTTTGCCCATTTTAGTAGAGTTGAATAGACTGGGCTGAGCATATCATTTCCCCCTGCCTTTTTGTAACCCCATTTAGTTAATGTCCTCTGTTTATGCATGTCCAGTGTCAGCCAAGTGCCAGTAAAGCTGCTTTACATTGGAATTTCTACTCCTGGAATGTAGGCTGAGAACCCCAGCGGGCTTCTTTTTGTTAAATACTTTCAGTATTCTTAATATGTAGTCTAGCCCAATTAAAGTACAAATTTATATTTCTTCATCCTGAGTTGCAGATGTGAGTAATGGATTTAAATTATTCACTTAAATTAGGCATCTCAGGCAGACTTAAAGTTGTTCTTGAAAGAGTTATTCTTGTCTTCATTTGTTTTCTTTACTACAGCAATAAAGGACCAAGTTGTTTATTCTTCAGTTTTCATTTGAATTAAAAACAAAACTTGAATATTATGAAGATAGCTATTCCCATTCTCAAATTGAGTCTCAAGTATGTTGCTGTATCGCTGTGGTTAGCTAGAATGTTTTATCTCACCATTTGCTCCAAAGGTTTGCTATAAGGTGGTTTTTACAGCATTCCTGTTAGCGAAGATGGCAATTTGAATTGGATTCTGTGTGTTTCAGAAAAAGCTGTAGGTTTTCCACTATACCAGAAGATCTGAGAGTTGTGAGAGAAAGGATCAAGGAAGGAGGAGGAATATAACTAATCAGTAAACCATTCATCATTTTCATTTCTACATATTTGAGACTGATTCCTGACTTAGTAGAAAATGTTTACCTTTTTAAAAGCACTCTTTATGTCTTTCATAAAATGGAATCACCGTCTAGCTCATGTACTGATTTCTTTTGCATCTTTAGTGTGCTTTGATAAAGTTTTATAATTACGGGAAGGACGTTTCCATCTTAGTTATTGTCCAAGGAGATTTTTGCCTTTTTTTTTTTTTTTGTCTTTTTTCGTGACCGGTAACGGGATCGCAACCCTCAGTGTCGCGCCCATACCGCGCTCAACCAGTGAGCGGACCGGTCTCTATATGGGATCCGAACCCTCAGCGGGAGCGCCGCCGCACTCTACTCAGTGCACCACCGGGCCGGCCCAGATTTTTGGATGCTATTTGAATGGTTTAAGCGTTAGTGGCTCACCAAGTCACTAGATTTTCTTTGTTTTCTTTTCTTTTCTTTTTTTTTTTTCTGCCTGTTTTTATTTTTATAATTATATTGGCTTGAATTTCCACTTCTCAATCTTCTAAGGAATATATGAGACTCATGGTTTTATAACTCAAAATTTCCTTTAAAATTCTGGAACTTCTTAAGTTGACATTTTAATTTTTTTATATTAAATTCTGTAGTACTCTTACAGAACTGAATATTCTTAATGTAAGTATAAGCATTACAGTTTCTTGTGCAATATTTTAGCAGTGTTGTGAAGGTTAAAATTGTGTTTTGACTTTCATGTCTTAGAGTTGCCTTAAAATGTATATAAGAATTTACATGGGACCGTCTAATACAGTGACTGCTTTAACATGTCCTAATATCCAGTGACCTTTTCTAATTCTCATTCTTATAAACTAAGATGCCTGTGGTTATAATTCTGAGTCTAATTATCTGCTTTTGAATTTTTTCCACTGCAATCCACATAGTGTGAAGATCTGTGAAAATGCTATGGGAAAACCAGCTTGGGTTCAAAATATCTTAAAAGTACCCTATAGACTTCCCAAGAGTTACTATCTGACAGTTTGTGACTGTAGAAGAAGGCATTTGAGTGTTTTCTGGGCCATAGAAATTTAAAATGCCTGTAATGTTATCCATCATTACTTACTTTACTATTAGAATTGTTGGCAAATTGAAGGTTTTCTCCCTATCGCATTTTCAGAGTTGCTATGAGTGGCAGAGTTTCACACTGGGTGAAGGAAGAGGGGCAGGAAGTTCGAAAACAGGACTCCCTAGGCCTCTGTCTGCCTGCCTAGAAGATGCAGACTGACTCAGTATGAGAAATAACAAATAGAAGAACTCATTTAAGTGTGTGGGCAAGAGATGATCACACTTTTCTTTTTATAGGGCAAATGATAGGTGCTTTTTCTTGTTTAATTAATTGATAAATTTTGAGGTTTTTTGATGTTTTTGTTTTTTAGATTTGAGAGTAACTTTAATTTCACTGTGTATTTATGCTGTGTATTTATGGCTATAAGTCAAATCAAACCTATTTCATGTATTGTGTATACATATATAGTCTAATAGAGATGATTTTGTAATTCATTATAATCTTGAGGGGTTTTTAATCATTAAAATGGCTACTATTGTTGTTTAGGGGTTTTTAAGGTTAGATGTATATCATATTTAACTTTTCCTCCTATCTTTTTATCTTTACTTCTTGGTTTTCTACGTGCTGTGTTTAAACCTTCTGCTCTCTTCACCTGAACAAATCGTTTTTGACATCATCTTTGTGTTGATGTTTATTACTCAGTACCACAAAACCTGCTCCGCACCTGGATGGGTAAGATTATGTTCTTAATACTTTGGGAAAGTGTTGCGGGTGGCCAGCCATAAAGACAGATTGGGCCAGGGGGAATTCTCAAGGGGACGCTGTTGATGTCTGGATTAATCTCTTATAGCCAAGCTCTTCCTTAAGGATCACAGGGTGCAGTAGTTTTTACCCCATGGCTCTCATGTGACTGAAGGGGTCTTTAACTTGTACCCATGGATAGGCCTCTCAGCTATGCAGTCTTGAGTGTCCATGTAAGGACAGTTTCAGAGTATCAGGTGCCATCTGAGTATTATCAGACTGTTTACCCTAAAATGGTTAAGAACCATTTTTTAAAAGACAGGAAATTGAGGCCCCGTTTGAGTAATTTTTGTTATTTCCTTTTATGAAGTAAATTTCAAATTCTCATTCCCTTCTAGTTGCTTCATACATCAAACACTTTGGTTTTATTTTTGGGTCTGTGGACATGTAATTTATAACAGTTGTCTTAATTACTGTTCATAGCCTAATTATCATCAAACCAATTATTTCTTAAATTTGTATTGTGACAGGGTGCATGTTGTTTTTGGACTGGTTATTTCTGGTTTTGAAATAATCAAACAAATTGAAAATCTGAAAACTGATGCTGCAAGCAGACCTTATGCAGATGTGCGAGTTATAGACTGTGGGGTGCTTGCCACAAAATCAACAAAAGATGGTAAGAATTTTGGGGGGGTGGAGGAAGTAGAATACAGGTAAAGCATTGTTGAAAACTATAACTTTTAAAGGTAACTCTTAGATTTCAGTAGCGGAAAAAACTTGTACTAGTGGTATAGCAGTGGCCCTTTATGCCTCTGTATCATATCCTACATCCATACCCTCAGCAATATTGTCAAATCTTAATCTTACCTCCTCTTATTACTTCCCCTTGCTACCAGCCTGATTCAAGCCACTAGCATCTTGTCCCAGGATTATTGTAGAAGTCTCATAACCGTTAACCTTACCTCTGTGCTTGCTCTTCTATAATCTTTTCTCAGAAGCAGTAGCCTCCTAACTGGTCTCACTGCTTATATCCTTGGCCCTCTGTGATCTGTCCTTAACAGTAACCAGATAGATCCGTTTTAACCATATTTCATATCCGTGTCACTCCTGTTCAGAACCTTCCAAGGGCTGGCTCTCTTTTCAGTCAGCTGAAGTCTTTGCAATGGTTTGTAAGGCCCTACATGGTCTGGCTGTCTGCTCTCTCTCTGACCTCTTCCCCCTCATTCATTGCCTTCCAGCTATATTCACTTTTACTCAGATATGCCAATTACTCAGGAATTTTGTGCTGGCTATTCTGTCTGTCTGGAACACTTCATTAAGCTACCTGCATGACCCCTTCCCATGCTTCCTTCATGTCTGTGCTCAAATGTTGTTTTAAAATACCAAACTACCCCCTACTCTCCCTATTCCCTTTAAGCTGCCTTTTTTTTTCTATCTTAACACTTATCATTTGTCATATGCAATTATTAATTTTTTTATTACCTGACCCAACTAGGCTTTATGAGGACAAGGGCTTTGTACCTTACAGTCTTGCCAGCAATCGTATTATCAGCTTGAAAAAAAAAGTTTATTTAAATTTCATTTTTAGTTTGCTATACATAAAACATATTTTACAATACTCAGTAATCACATTTTTTTTTCCTTTTTGTCTTTTTTCGTGACCGGTAACGGGATCGCAGCCCTTGGTGTCACGCCCGTACTGCGACCGGCAACGGGATCGCAACCCTCGGTGTCGCGCCCGCACTGCGCTCAACCAGTGAGCGGACCGGTCTCTTTATGGGATCCGAACCCTCGGCGGAAGCGCCGCTGCACTCCCAAGCGCTGCACTCTACCGAGTGCGCCACCAGGCCGGCCCCAGTAATCACATTTTTTACTCTGAAAGGTCGGTCCTGAAGTCCAGTATTAATATTTTTGTTAATATTTCTTAAAAGTTTTTGAGAAAAAAAGGAAAAAACCAACTCATTCAGAAGGCTCGGATTCGTCTTCCAATTCCTCTTCCTCTTCCGAATCATCTTCAGAAAGTGAAATTGAACATGAGAGAAGCAGAAGAAGGAAACATAAGAGGAGGCCAAAAGTTAAACATTCTAAAAAGAGACGAAAGGAAGCAAGCAGTTCAGAAGAGCCAAGGAATAAACATACAATGACCCCAAAAGGGTAAGTGTGAAACACCAAAGTAGTCTTACCTAAAAAAGCAGATAAACTCCCTGGCATGAAAAAAGTATTTATAATTTTATCAACTTAATTTTAGGATAGCATTTTAGGACATTATAACTAAATTGAAGTCTGGCAAATCTACGAATAGCACAGGCATTTCATATTAAACATTTGGGTGTTTTAGGTGAAAATAATGCCTGAAACTCTTAAAAGAAAAAAATTAGGATCATTTGACAATTTTTGTATCAAAATTTCAGTACTCTGGGTTTTTCACTAGATTGATGTTTTATATATTCTCTTTGTGGAAATTGTATAACCCTTCTGAGCTTGTAAGCTATCAGTATTTGTGCTGTTATTTTAGTATCTAATTTTATGCGCTTTTATTATTATGAAATGCAAGCATTACACATATGGGTGACTGAGTTTGTTTTCTCTAAGTCACTCTGAGAGGAGTGATACCAATGAAAAAAGGTCAATAGATTCAAATGCTAAAAGGGAAAAGCCTGTGGTCCGCCCAGAAGAGATTCCTCCAGTGCCTGAGAACCGATTTTTACTCAGAAGAGATATGCCTGTTGTCACTGTGGAACCTGAGCCGTAAGTAGCATGACTAACCTATATGTTTTTATTTCTCTGATAGACAATTCCATCAGCTCATTGCAGTTCCATACTCATTTATTGAACACGATTCATGTTCGAAGCACTTTGAAAGATACCGTGAGCAATGTCAGATTAATGAATGAATATACCCTACCTTTTGGAATTATACTAGTAGGGAAAGGAGGTTGGACAAGTTGGTTAGGGGATAAGTTTTTATTGGAGGTCTGAAAAAATTTCATTACTGATCTTGTTACCTTGACCTTTCATTAGAGAGGTTAGGTTTTGGTTACCAGAATAGAGGGTTAGTTCAACTCTTTGGATCCATTTGAGTGATGAAATGTGTTCTAATTTGAATAGTGCAAAATTAATCGCATGATGATTGGAGATTTAATTTAGTGTCATAAATATGTTACTGTTGTTAACTTGCTCAGTGATAACATACAAAATAAACCGAGGTATGAAAAGTCCTCTCATGTATGGAGGACTGTAGGTGTCAAAAAAACTATACTCTTAGAATTATCCATACAAGAAGGCAACAGATTGAAAGCATTGAAAGAGGGACAGCTTATAATAGAGTGGGGGAGATAAACAGTAAAAAATAACCAAAACACAGTAAAGCATCAGAGTCAGTAATACCTCAGTATTCCCTTAAAATCACTGTTTTGACAGGAGACATCTAAAAAAGGATTTTGTTGAAAGGTAGTACTGTGTTTAAAAAGATAGATACTAGTATTGTGTATTTTTACCCCATTTGGTTTATTTATTTATTTATTTATTTGAGTTTTGTCATTTAAAGAGTTTGCTTAGAAAATTTGGTTACATGGAATGTCTCATCCTACAAAAGTGTTGGATAAATGAGGCGTTTTTGTATTGTAAGGGCATAAATTCTGCATTTAAACATTGAGAAAACTGCCTAGCATTTGCTTATTTTTATATTTTATCACAATCTTCTTTTCTAGGAAGATTCCTGATGTTACACCTGTAAGTGATCAGAAACCATCCGTATCAAAGTCTGGACGAAAAATTAAAGGAAGAGGCACAATTGTATGTGTGTTAAGATTTCTTTTTTCAAATTATTTATCTAAACACTAAAAATTGTTACCTATAGGCAAAATTCTAGCTTTAATTTTAGATATAATAAAAATCTGTTCAAGAAATTAATTGTATTTTTCATAGCTACAGGAGGGTACTGCTGTTAGAGTTTACTGTAGTGTTTGAATGAGTTTAAGTATGAAATGAACATGTGAAACAATCAGTGAATATGTTGAGAAATCTTAGTATGTTGAATAATCTAGGCTAATTTCTTGTGAGATTACAGGTGAATCTCAGCCTTTCTCATCTCATTTAATGCCTTATGTTTGAAATAACTTCATACCATCCTTTTGATACTTGAATTATTGCCTTTGAGATTGAGTCTTTTACCAAACTTTATCCTCTAGCAGACTGTATTAGAGAGGCATTTTAAAAAATAGTTATTCCCTTTGTTTTTAAAGCGCTATCACACACCTCCAAGGTCAAGATCCTGTTCTGAGTCAGATGATGATGACAGCAGTGAAACCCCTCCTCATTGGAAAGAGGAAATGCAGAGATTGAGAGTATACAGACCACCTAGTGGAGAAAAATGGAGTAAAGGAGATAAGTAAGAACTTTGAGTATAAGTACAATCCTATGTTTGCTATATTTTAAGTGTTAAGGGGCTAGAGACTTAATTCTGGACTTTTCATTAAAGATTTACAGTCAGAATGAGACCATGACAGGAATACTGGAGTGCAGTTAACTAAGTGGGATGAATGACTTTAGGGGGTCCTTTAAGTAAAATTCTGTTTTCTCTCACAAAAACTATAAGCCTACTGAATATTTTAAAGATCTCTTATTCAGTTTTAGAAATAATCAGGACTTAAAAATTATATAGCAAGGGCCGGCCCGTGGCTCACTTGGGAGAGTGTGGTGCTGATAACACCAAGGCCAAGGGTTCAGATCCCTATATAGGGATGGCTGGTTGGCTAAGTTGGGAGAGTGTGGTGCTGATAACACCAAGGCCAAGGGTTCAGATCCCTATATAGGGATGGCTGGTTGGCTAAGTTGGGAGAGTGTGGTGCTGACAACACCAAGTCAAGGGTTAAGATCCCCCTACCGGTCATCTTTTAAAAAAAAAAAAAAAAAAGTTTATATAGCAGATTTTTCCTAGCCAGGTTTCTTATTGACTGATGAATTGATTGGTAGATAGGAAAATCTGTACCCAGTATGTACATTAACTTCTCACCTCAGGGACTGTTGCTTCTTCAGAAGTGTACCCATCTCTTACCCTCAGTGACACCTCACAGCAGAATATCTATTTTAGAAATGGGGCTAGCCCCAGAATAATAACTAGTGAACAATGTGTCAGTGGGATCCTGTGTAATTCATGGTAGAATTTTCTTTTTCTCTGTGGGCATCCTGCAGAGTGGTTTGAAGTTGGGAGATGAAGGAAAAGATGTATATCTGCTGTGTGGAAGTGGCTTAGACACAGTGGTAATGAGGACTTGTAATTTTGAGCCTTGACATTACCACCGATATTGTAAAACCTGCATCTGTTTTCATGTGCTGTTTCCTCAATTTCTGTTTTAAGTAGTAGTTTTACTTTAACCTTAGGAGAAAGTCTTGATTACCTCTTTGAGGCAGAGAGAAAACAACAGTCATGGTAGCTTCTTGGAAAAAGAGGCTTCTCTTAAAAAAAATTCAGGCAGCAATCCTGTATCTGCAGAGGATCAACAGAATTGCTTAGGAAACTTGCTTTGATTCTCCCTCAGAAATTGCTTCTGGGGCAGAGGGTTGTGAGCAGATCACAGCCAAGAACTTGGTATATCAGTAGTGCTGTTGTAGTCAATTGATTTGATTTTTAAAAACATTTTCCTATCAAATTTGAAATTCTTTGCTAAGCTTTAAACAAAATCTTTTTGTGAGTTTATCTGTTAGTAGTTATCAGTGTCTCTGAAAGTATAAGGATTTAATTGATTATGAAATGAACATGTAAAGCTATAACTCTTTGATTCATGCTTCCTATGTGTGCTTCAAGTATGGGAGTCAAGTGCTTTGTTGTTAACAAGGCTTTTCAGTGCTTTTGCATTGACAACAAATGTGTTTTAAGACATAGAAAATGTGCTTAAAATAACTGCATGCATATTATGTCCTTTTCTGTAGGTTAAGTGATCCCTGTTCAAGCCGATGGGATGAAAGAAGTTTGTCCCAGAGATCCAGATCATGGTCCTATAATGGATATTATTCAGACCTTAGTACAGCAAGACACTCTGATAGTCACCATAAAAAACGCAGAAAAGAGAAAAAGGTTAAGCATAAAAAGAAAGCTAAAAAGCAGAAACACTGCAGAAGACACAAACAGACTAAGAGGAGAAGGACTGTTGTACCATCTGACATAGAATCCTCAAAATCTTCCACTCGACGAATGAAATCCCCTTGTGATAGAGAAAGGAGATCTCGTTCTTCCTCTTTATCATCTCACCACTCATCAAAGAGGGACTGGTCTAAATCTGATAAGGATGACCAGAGTTCTTCAACCCATTCCAGCAGAGACTCATACAGATCAAAATCTCACTCACAGTCTTATTCTAGAGGAAGCTCAAGATCAAGGACTGCATCAAAATCCTCATCACATTCTCCAAGTCGATCAAAATCCAGATCTAGTTCCAAGTCGGGGCACAAAAGGACAGCATCAAAATCACCAAGAACAACAACTTCTCAGTTAAGTGAAAATAAGCCAGTTAAAACAGAACCTTCAAGAGCAACAGTGCCACAAAATGAAAACGTAGTAGTACAACCAGTGATAGCGGAAAATATTCCTGTAATACCGTTGAGTGATAGTCCCCCTCCTTCAAGGTGGAAGCCTGGACAGAAGCCCTGGAAGCCCTCTTATGAGCGAATTCAGGAAATGAAAGCTAAAACAACCCATTTGCTGCCCATCCAAAGCACTTATAGTTTAGCAAATATTAAAGGAACTGGTAGTTCATCATCCTACCATAAAAGAGAAAAAAATTCACAAAGCGATCGGAGTGCTTATTCAAAATACAGTGATAGAAGTTCAGAAAGTTCACCAAGGTCAAGGAGCAGGTCGTCTCGGAGTAGATCTTACTCCAGATCGTACACAAGGTCACGTAGTCTAGCTAGTTCACATTCAAGGTCTAGGTCTCCATCATCTAGATCTCATTCACGAAATAAATACAGTGATCATTCACAGTGTAGTAGATCATCTTCATACACTTCTGTTAGCAGTGATGATGGAAGGCGAATCAAGAGGAAATCTAGATCCAATGGGAAAAAAAATAATGCTTCAAATAAAAGGCACAGCAGAAGCTCTGAAAAGACACTTCATAGTAAATATGTCGAAGGCAGGGATAAATCTTCATGTCAGAGAAAGTATAGTGAAAGCAGGTCATCTTTAGATTATTTTTCAGACAGTGAACAGTCAAGTGTTCAGATTACACAGTCAGCCCAGGAAAAAGAGAGGCAGGGCCAAAAGGATATAACAAATAGCAAAAAAGAAAAAAACAGAGATGAGGAGAAATCCAAGCCTAAACGGGAATGCCTTCGTTCAAAAAAAAGAACTTCGAAAGAGAATCTTTCTGATCACTTTAGAAATGGCAGTAAGCCCAAAAGGAAGAATTATGCTGGGAGTAAGTGGGACTCTGAGTCAAATTCAGAACGAGGTGTAACTAAAAACAATAGAAATGATTCCCGGCCATCTTCTGATAAGGAGGAAGGTGAGGCCACCTCAGATTCTGAATCAGAGGTTAGTGAAATTCACACCAAAGCCAAACCCACAACAAAATCTTCAGCAAATACTTCATTGCCTGGTGATAATGGTGCTCAGAAATCAAGCAGACAGCAGTCATCAGCTTCTGATTCTGAGGACTCCTATTCCAATTCAGAAAATAATAGAGGAAAGTTGCTGAAGCACAAACATGGGTCAAAGGAAAATCTTAAAAGGGAACACACCAAAAAAATGAAAGAGAAATTGAAAGGGAAAAAAGATAAAAAGCACAAGGCTCCAAAACGAAAACAAGCATTTCACTGGCAGCCTCCACTAGAATTTGGTGAAGAGGAGGAGGAGGAGATTAATGAAAAGCAAATTACCCAGGAGTCAAAAGAGAAAAAACAAGTATCTGAAAACAGTGAAACCATAATAGATAATCCCAAAACTGAGAAATCCTGTGAAGAGGGCGGCATTTCAGGTAAACATAATACAATGACTGTTTCATCAGATCTTGATCATCTTACTAAAGACGATAGTAAACTCAACATTTCTCCCACAGCTTTAAATACTGAGGAAAATGTAGCCATTTCTCCCCCAAATATTCAGCATATTGAAGAAGGTGTCCCAAGTGGAGTGGAGGATGTGCTTCAAACAGATGACAACATGGAGATTTGCACTCCTGATAGGAATTCCCCAGCCAAGTTAGAGGGGGCTTCCCCTCTAGGAAATTCAAGGCTTGACTCTCCAGATACAAGCATTGTTCTAAAGCAGGATATGCAAACAGAACATCCTGAAGCAGTGGTAGTACAACAGGAAAGCGGCATGTCTGAAAGCAAAACTATGGGTGAAAAGAGGAAACAGGAGGGCAGCTCTGCTAGTTTGGCCAATGCTGTAGAAAATACTGGGAAAAAGGAGGTAGCTGAGAAGAGCCAGATCAACGTCATGGATAATAAATGGAAGCCTCTGCAAGGTGTGGGGAACCTGGCAGCACCTGCTGCTACCATATCCAGTGCTGTGGAAGTTAAGGCATCAACTACTGTGCCTGAAATGAAACCACAAGGCTTGAGAATAGAAATTAAAAGCAAAAACAAAGTTCGGCCTGGTTCTCTCTTTGATGAAGTAAGAAAGACAGCACGCTTAAACCGGAGACCAAGAAATCAGGAGAGTTCAAGTGATGAGCAGACGCCTAGTCGGGATGGTGATAGCCAGTCCAGGAGTCCAAGCCGATCTCGAAGTAAATCTGAAACCAAATCAAGACACAGAACAAGGTCTGTCTCGTATAGTCACTCAAGAAGTCGATCAAGAAGTTCTACATCATCTTATCGGTGAGCAATACTCTTTCCTTTTTTTCTCCCAAGGAGAGTCTGTTATTATTTAGCTTGGAAGTACATCAGAGTTAGGGGCAAAATCACTGTTTCCAAACATCTAAAGGGGAATAAGATGTAGTTTTGTTCTGTGTGACCCAGAGAACGGATTGAGAACATAGGGAGTGGGGATTTCAGGAGAAGAAATTTGGGCTATCAGTTAAAGCTCTCTAGCAGTAAAAATGAGTTGCTACAATAGGTGGCGAGTTTTTTAAAGATGTGAGGCTGCTCTCTTGCTAGTCAGTGATGCCCTAGAAGCAAATCCTGAATTTACAGAATATACCATATAGGATTTAGAGATCATTAATCTAACCTTCTATTTTACACATGTGGAAGGTGACAGAGACAGTTACCTGCCCAAGACAGGCATCTAGTTGATCTTTATTTGGGGGTGGGGGAGGGAAGGGTGAATAAAGATGATCTTTAGAGGGCCAACCCCGTGGCGCACTTGGGAGAGTGTGGCGCTGGGAGCGCAGTGGCGCTCCTGCTGTGGGTTCAGATCCTATATAGGGATGGCCGGTGCGCTCACTGGCTGAGCGCGGTGCGGGTGACACCAAGCCAAGGGTTGCGATCCCCTTACCGATCACAAAAGGACAGAAAAAAAAAAAGATCAGGGCCGGTCCGTGGCTCACTCGGGAGAGTGCGGTGCTGATAACACCAAGGCCACGGGTTCGGATCCCATATAGGGCTGGCCGGTTAGCTCACAGGGTGAGCGTGGTGCTGACAACACCAAGTCAAGGGTTAAGATCCCCTTACCGGTCATCTTTTAAAAAAAAAAAAAAAATGATCTTTAGATTTTTTTGTTATTGTTCAAGTTGCATCCAACTTGTCATCAGCATAGACTGGGTAGTAAGAAGAATAAGAATTAAACTAAAAAAATTGTTGATGGTGATATGAAGTTAATAAGTAGTTGTGTTGCATTCTTTTCCTTGGAAATATTTCTTGGTTTTACCTGTTTCTTAATTACTTGTATCCCTTATATCGTGCTTGATTTTCATTATTTGAACTTAAAATTCAATAAGAATTATTGACTGTTTTTTTCCTTTCTAGTTATTAATCAGTATTTTTCTTCCCTTGCTCACCCAGACTTCTTAAAAAAGGAAACACTACTTGCCATCTGTAATAACTATCTCCCATTTATTCCTCAGTCTCTTGCTTGCTGTCTTCTGTGCCTTCCCTCCCCACTTCCCACTAAATTGACCAAAGTTTTCAGGTACTTCCCCATGGCCAGTGCTAGGGCATGTTTTCAGCCCCTACCTTCTGGGAGCCCTCTGTTACCTCTTCTCATCTCTTTCAAACCATTTCATCCTTGTGTTGTGGTCTCCTCTTCCTCCTCCTGCCCTGACTCCCAGCAGGCCCAGGGAGCTGTTGGATCATGGCATTTTCTATTTGCGTTACTACTCTTAGAGACAGTTGCCTGTTGAGCTACTCTAGCTTCCATCTGCTCAAGATCTGCCTTGTCATTTACGCTCAGATGGCTCCGAGCTGGTGGTGATACTGGCTGTTCTCCTCATTTACCTTCCTAGCACTGCCTTTGGAGTGGGTGGTATTTCATTTTATAAATAAAGACAGGCATAGAATGGCTAAGGAATTTGCTTTAGTCTCTGTAGCTAACGGGTAGTAGACTGAGATGGCTAAGCTTGAGTACTGTCCTGCCTCCCTGTTTTGGTTACCTGCCTGGGCCTGACTCCCCCACTAGATTGAACTCTTTGAAGTCAGGGACTGTGTCTTACTCATCTTTCATCATCTCTCAGAGTCTGGCTCTATACTTTTTGTTTGAATAAATGACTAGAATCTTATTAGAATATAATGTATTCATCCTCTTGCAGATAAACTGGAAGCAGGTCATGTCTTCCAAAACATGAGTGCATACTGAATAAAATCTATATTTCATAAGTAGCCTTTTCCCAGAGATATTGTTCTATTCCTGAATAACAGGTTTAAAGTAAGGGAGAAGGATGGGGAGTCAAGTGAACGCAGAGTTAGAATTGTACTACTTAAGTTTTTTGTTTATTTTATTAAATATTAAATAGATATAAAAATAAAACAAGTGATTAAAGTATAAAAAACAATGTATACTCATCTGGCTTAAAAGAATAGAGCTTTGATGTACCAATGTCACCCTACTTTCTCTCCTCTCTCCTAGAGTTAACCATTATTCCAAACTTTTGTTATAACTTTGTTTTTCTTTATAATTTTACCGCAAATGTTTCTATCCTTATACAGTGTTACTTTTGCATGTTTTTGAACTTTTTGTAAATAAAATCCTTTTATATGTATACGGAAATTCTTCATTTGCCTTTTTTATTCAACATTGTGTTCCAGAGATGTATTTCTACTGATAGATGTAGTTGTAGTTTATTCATTTACCTAGTTTAGAATATTTCATTATATGTCTATACCTTAAGTTTTTTTTAACTCTTTCTACCATTGATAGAGATTTGGGTTATTTCTTCTTTTATTATTGCATATATATGCTATTAACATACCTGTACCAGCCTTCTCTGTTCATTTGTTTTTATTTTAATTTCATTCTGTTTAGTTTAAACTGTGGTTGTTTCTGGATTGCCTCATTAGCTATCACTGTCTTACCCACTGTGAAGAGTTTGTGAGAGACTTTTCCTCTTGTTGTGTTTTCCCCTCCCTACCCTACCAGTAATTAATTTTAACACCATGGTGAGTTAGTATAATTATAAGATTTTTCACTCCTCTTAATTGTAGGTCAAGAAGCTACTCTAGACCTAGGTCTAGAAGTCGGAGCAGAGGATGGTACAGCAGAGGCCGAACCAGAAGCCGTAGCAGTTCCTACCGCAGTTACAAAAGTCACAGGTGAGCTTGTGATCTCGTCCTGCAATGTGGTCTCCGCCATGTCTGTTTTCTAAGGGCTGAGCTTAGGCAGGATGTGGCAGCTGTTGAGAAGAATCCTGTCATTGCCCAATACCAGACTGACCTATTTTTTCATCTAGGTCTTTCTTTCAAAGAGCTTTGAAATTCTTCCCAGCTATTCCTAGGATAGGGTCTTATCAGAGTAAGGCAAGAGAAGCAGTAGGAATATTTAAAAGAGGCCCTGACCCCTACCCTCTACCTCTTCTAAATACATCTTCCTTAACCTCAGTTCACATGTGCAATCACCTCTTGACCTGGATTAGGGATTAGGATAGGAGGATTGTAGAGAGGGGACTAAAAAGGAAGAAGCATGTATATGTTGGGGGCTGACCCCAGATTTCTAGTTCTCCTGGCATCTCTCCCTCTTTTGCCTCTGAGATACCTTCCACTGCGCAGCTTCACTGTACTAACAAGTGTCCTACCTGTGCAGACCTTTTCCCCCTTTCCATTCAGTTTAGAGCCTCCCCAGTGACTTTCTTTATTTCTTTATGTGCATCTCATAGAAGAACTGCATAAAACTTCATCTTTGTTATTAAATCCAACAGGCTTTTTTTTTTTAATCCAATATACTTTTGATACAAAAACAATAAATATAGCTTAGGATTTCACTGTATTTTCACCTTGATGGGCAAATGAATGTCTAGATTTTTGATATAGCCCGTCTTGCCCTGATCCACAAGATGATGGTCCTTCATGTGATTAATATTAGGACATCCAGCAGGAGCAGATCCAGGAGCAGCTCGTATGATCCCCACAGTCGGTCCAGGTATGGACAGGGATTGGGTAACCACCTTTGGGGCAGAACTGAAAGACCTTGTTTTATAAACACGTAGTTCAAAGTGTTGTATTTTATTGAATAACTTAAATGCATAAATTTGTATCCTGAAATCATACTCTTTCTAAATGAGGCCTTTTGACAATTTTTATTTGTTGGCTCATTGTACTCCAGTGTCAAAAATGACAATTATAATGTAAAATTGCAATGGCAGGTGTTTATTGAATATATTGACCTAATAAGATCTACCAGATTTAATCAAAATAACTGTATTAATTTTGTGATATTTTTCAGTGCAGAAAAGAAATTAACATTTTTCTCTTTAATATATAGTAAAGTCTGATTTGGGGCAACTTTAAATGTTTCTAGTACTTGTTATACAAATGTCTTTTCTTCACACTGTCATGTAGTGCCCATGTTCTAAGCTAGAACACTCTTAAGATCCTAAAAAGAAATGGGAATATATGAGTATTTGAATGGGAAAATTTAGTGTGTGTTGTTGCTGTTAAAGCAGGTCCTACACTTACGATAGCTACTATAGCAGGAGTCGGAGTCGAAGTAGAAGCCAGAGGAGTGACAGTTACCACAAAGGCAGAAGTTACAATAGGCGGTCCAGGTGGGTCTCTCTTCTTTAGAACACTGTAAGTTACTGTGGGCATGTGGTGTGTGTCAGGTGATAGATTAAAAACAGAAGTATTCCTTTCTTTTCTTGAATTGTAACAACCCACAAGGAGCTACTAAAAGTGGCCTTTGTACTAAGAATTGCCACTTAATTCATGTTGGTTATTGTTCGTGTTTGAATCTTTTAAATATTCACATATCCTTGGACAAACATTTCTTTTGGAAGAAGTAAAGAGAGAAAGCCACCCAAACCATGGCCTGCTTGCTTAAATAGTCCTACTTGCTAGGAATAGCCAATTTGTCCAGTTTGTCATTTTTTAAAATAAAGAATTGTAGTATATAAAATATCATAATCATTTTCTTCAGCAGCAGGATTGAGATTTCTATCTTGTCAGTTATTTAGTACAATATATATTTTTATGTATGATATATAGTATGTTTTATAGAACATATTTTGGCTGCTGCGCAAGTCTTTATGGTGACTTTTGTTATGTCCCTTGCTGGTGGCTTCTGGTCTTACCCTCTATCCATTATAACCAACTATAGTGATCTTGTAAAATATCAGTTATCTGGACACTTCCTTGCTTGAAACTCTCCAAGAACCACCTACTGCCTTCACAGTCAGGTCCAGCCTCCTTAGCATTGCATCCAAGGCCCCTGCACTTGTCAGCTCCAGACTGGACTCTTTCTGGCTTCCCTCCTTTAATGTGCTGGAACCTTTCCTTGTGCCTGGAGACACATGCATCCTCTCCACCATCTCCCCTTTTGCCTTTTGAAATGGCCAAATTCCACCTCCGTGCAGGTCTCCACTGTAACTTGCTGCCCCTGGGAGGCCCTCCCTGACTGGTAGTCCTGAGATACAGTCCCTCCGGTGTCCCTCTGAGGCAGCCTTTGTTCCTCCTGGGGCTTTCACTGCCCCTAACTTGTTTATCTTGCCCACTGTTCTGTACTATCTGTGAGCCCCAGAGAATTATACTTTGTCTACTTTTTTTTTTTTGTCCCCCCAGCATCTAGCAAAATAACTGGCCCTCAGTGAATATTTTTTCTTTTTTCTTTTTTTTTTTTTTTTTTTTTGTCTTTTTCATGACCAGCAAGGGGTTCACAACCCTCGGCTTGGTGTCGCCCACACCGCGCTCAGCCAGTGAGCCCCCCAGCCATACCTATATAGGATCCAAACCCGTGGCGGGAGCACCGCTGTGCTCCCAAGCGCCGCACTCTCCCGAGTGCGCCACGGGTTCGGCCCCTCAGTGAATATTTTCAAAATAACTGAATGGTGACCATAACCAGGTCCTCTTGACTCAGTATCCCAGTGGTCCTGTTCATGCTCATTGGACCCCCGATTTTGGTTTCCATACCTGTAATGAAACTATTCATGCACCTTTTCCTTTCCTCTGACCATCTAATCAAATATTGATTCTCATTTTGGGTAATGTGGAAGATTATGATGATCATTTGCATGAATGGATTTCAAGTAAATTTCCCAGTATGTGATGTTTCTTTATTTTATCCTATCCTTTTTTTTTTTTTTTTTTGTCTTTTTTCGTGTCCGGCAACGGATCGCAACCCTCAGTGTTGCACCCGTACCGGACCAGGACCGGCAACGGGATCGCAACCCTCAGTGCCGCACCCGCACCTCGCTCAGCCAGTGAGCGGGAACCGGTCTGTATGTGGGATCTGAACCCTCGGCGGGAGCGCCACTGCGCTCCCAAGCGGCGCACTGTAGCAGTGCGCCACCGGGCCAGCCCATATTTTATCCTATCCTTGACATTACTACCATTTGTCATTGAAAACATCTTTGAAAAGTCCATAGTGTTGCCATACTCAGTAACCTATTTGTCTACCCCCATGCTATGCCACATCAGTAGTGTTTTCAAGCCACTCATATCAAAAAGAAGCTACAAGAGGAATTCAAAGGGATTCAAAGTGTTGATAGTTAAAAGGGTTTTGTATATTTTGTTTTGTTTTGTTGTACAGGAGTTGTAGATCTTATGGCTCTGACAGTGAAAGTGACCGAAGTTACTCTCATCACCGGAGCCCCAGTGAAAGCAGCAGATACAGTTAAAAATGTCCTTTTTTGATACAAATTATATCTTATTTGTAAATATCTGGTAACTTAAAAGTTTAAGAAACTTAATTGCAGTCTTTTTCTGTTTCAGTATCAGAGATGAGTTTCAAATATAGACACTTCTTAATTGTTACTCATTCATTTACATATGCGCAGAAGAATTTAAGATACAGATATGTCTCCTACAAGTATTTTTAATGCCACATTTTACAGCAGCCAACTATGGAAATGAGTTTCATTTTCTTGAATCAAGAAATTGTGAAATTTATCTAAGTATAATTTGCAATATTACTTTAGATAGACTGTTTCTCTGCATCTCACGTATTCCTTGGAATATAGATTCATTTTTGCCCATTTTTCAGGTTTTAGCATATATGCTGCCAAGCATAGTACTGTGAAGAAGAACTGTTAAAGGCAGCCAAATATTTATATACCAATGACACAGAGTTTTGTACATGTGTTCTCAAAAACAAACCACCCAGATTGATACCAATGGTAGCCAGGAGTATAAGGCAGTGGCTTTGGGGTTCTTATTTCATTCATTCCTTCTTTTCTGTCTCAGAGGATCAGGAAAGTGGTCATCATACAGCCCACAGTCTGCATTACTTCAGGCTGGCAGGCAAGGTTAAGAACAAATCAGCCTTAACTATAAATATCTGCACTGTCTCTAAGGACTTAATACTTTATGTGCTTTTTAATAAATACTATCAGAAGTTTAGATTACAAAAAACAATTCTACTCCAGTTCATGCTTTGGTGCTTGGTACCTCTTGGTGCCTCTTTAAGCATTATTCTTTTCTACATCAGAATACCATTAAAGAGAAAAATGATTTTTTAATTTTTTATTCATTGGCACCGAAATGGTTTCTTCTGATCTGCCTTTCATTTTAAATATTTGGGGGCTTCTCTCAAGCACAGATATGGGTTGGGGGTCCCCTGTAGCAAGCAGGATTGGCAATAGAGGGTGTACCCACGTCTGTAGCATGTGTGTGCCTCTGAAGAATGGACTTTAGAAGTAACACCAAAATCTAACTACCATCATCCTGGAGACATTTTGCAGGGCTTTAGTTTTAAGTTTTTCAAGTAAGGGATATGCCACAACAGCAGCTGAACTATTCTAACCAGAATGTTTTTCCTGTTTCCACTCTGACCACACCGACTCAATGAAGCGTTGCATGACCTGAGTAAACCTAGGACAAGAGACAGGAGAAGTGGAGAATAGGGTGCTGCATAAGTTATACATTTTCGTGGCTTTGGGTGGTTCCTCCAAAAATAATTTGATCTGTAAAAACTAGTGTGATTTTTTTTTTAATCTTTAGTTTGTATTTTTTCCCAAAGTGTACTTAATCACCTTTGTGCCAGTTTAATCCAGTTATGCAGAAAAAATTCATATTGGATGTTTGATGTAGAATTCTGCATCATCCTACCCCAGGCCTTGCCTGGCATATTTGGGAAATGGGAAAGAGCTCTCAGTTGGAGGGATCTGACAACTTTTGATGGATGGATGGGTGACGGTGGATGTATTAAAACTATCACCTATAGAAGGTGTGTAAACAGGGTTAGGTGATTGGTTGTTTGCCAAGTTGATAGACAAAAGTACATTAGAAAACAGGACTTAAATCAAACAAATAGTACTTGATAGTGAATACAAAACAATTTGTGATTCAAATTAAGGGTTTTCGAAAGTTGCCTGCAAAGGAGAATATTGCTTTAATACTATTCAGTGGGAAAAACAATGCATTCAGAACCCAAACAGAAACTGCCAAATCTGGTTAGGTTAAGAAAAGTTACCCTTGGGCAGTGTATTAGTTTTCTATTGCTGTGTGACAAATTACCCCAAATTTAGTAGCTTGAAACAACACCAATTTATTAGCTCACAGTTCTGTAGCTCGTGGGTCCAGCATGGTATGGCTGGATTCTCTGCTCAGGGTCTCACAAGGCTGAAATCAAGGGTTGGCAGGGCAGCATTCCTTTATGGAAGCTCTGGGGAAGAATCTGCTTCCAAGCTCATTTAGGTCATTGGCAGAATTTAGTTCCTTTATGGTTGTCAGCTGGGGGCCTCTCAGCTCCTTAAAGCTGCCCCCATTCCTTCCTGTATGGTCCCCTACATCTTCAAAGGAGCAATGACCCTTCTCTTTCTCATGCTTCAAATATCTATGCCTTCCTACTCTATTTTAAGGGTCCATGTGATTGGATCAAACTCACAAAGATCATCTCTCTATTTTAAGGTCAGTTGTGCCATAAAACATCATAATCACAGGATTCAATATCTCGTCATATTCACAGGTTCTGAGGATTGGCACATGGAAGTGGGGGAGGGGCATTTTAGAATTCTGCCTACCACAGGCAGTAACTTTGCCCATCTCAGCTGTGGGTAGAATTTTATCCTGAAAAGGTAGGCCCTAGAAGCCTCATTTGTTTTCTTCATGAAAAAGGACAGCCCTCTGCTGCAGTATTCAACTTGTGTGTTTACTGAAGTGAACTACAGAAATGGCTTTTCTTCCTATAGGGTGTTGTTCTGTATTTTGAAGTTATTTTTAATAAAATTGAATTATGTTGTGTTTGTGCTTCTTAATAGAAAATGCATTATTGGACTGTTTTGTAACATCCTGTTTACTGCAAATGAAATAGCTAGTATTGCTGAAACTAGAAAATACTTTTGTACATATTAGCAATGTCTTATTTGTATACACTTGAATTAAATTTCCCTATAACTTGAAAGAGGGATCTTGTAGAAATTAAAATATATATACTTAGTCTAAGTCTGAGTCTGTGCATGTTTCATCTTTCTTTACTCTCCCAGACTTAAAACAGTCTTTCTGAAATGGAAAAAAAAAACCCCACAAACCATTGAGTCTCTTTGCTGACTTTTGGTGGGGGCAAGAGGTGGAGCTAGAGAGAGGGCAGGCAGAGACGTTAACCTACCCAGGTAAGCATTAATAGTGATTGGTCTTCTTCGCCCTGGAAACTCCAGATTTCCTCCAGGCTTTGTTGGCATCCAGCTGAAGTGACCTGCATACAGATGTCTTTGCTGAGGAAGAAATATGTTCTATCCCATATGTTAGTTGCTTCCTAGAGACAGTCCATTTACCTGTACCTCTCACATTTCCCTAGCAGTTTACCAAGCAGTGCAGCACATAGCACTCACTCCCAGAAAACACATTCCTATGGGAATATTTTTAGCATACACATAAGAATTTGCAGGGCTAGTACAATTAACTTTTGTCTCCTCGGAACTCAAAGGAATGTATATTTTCTTAGTGAATGCAACATAATTTCTCACAGTAGGTAATTTCTCGCGTGTGGATACTCAGCTTTCTAAATTGAGTTAACAGTGGACTCCCAAGTCGGGCAACTCCTGAAAATTGGGTTTGGATGCATTGCTTTAAAATTTAAAAAAATGCAGAGTCTGTTTGTGGGGAAATCCCCTAATGAGGTTCCTTATGGTCTTATTTTTTGTGGGTTCTAGGTTCTTTATTAACATTCTGATAGTGATAAGCTTTATCAGTTTGGCAGTATTGGGGGAAAAATATGTCAAGGGCATTAGCAGCTGGCCGGTATTGGGATCCAAACCCTTGACCTTACAAGCTGGCACTCCAGCCAACTGAGCTAACCAGCCAGCCATGTCGAGGGCTTTGGTCTTGACTGTCCTAAATTAGCTAGGCATTGAGTAGGAGGTGAGAGAATTCAAGGGCAAATGTCCCTCTTGCAAGAGACTGTGAATACTGACCGGGCATCACTGTTTGGAAGAGGAAGGAGACTCTACTTGGTGTTAGAAGCCCAGCAGTGGGTGTTGAGCCTTGAAGGAGTGTTGCAAACTAGTGTGGCCAGGTGAGGGGACTTGGAAGCCATTCCTCACAAGGTGGAAGGGACTGGGTTCAAATTTCCAAAGGGAAAATAGGCTGCAGTTGCCCATAGTGAGGTGAGAGCCTGCAGTCCTGTGAGGGTCTTGTGATAGAACGAGGTGAGAAGAGTGCTGGAAGGAGACTTCTGCTGGACAGGAAGTACTCTGATGCTGTAAAGGCTGCAGCCTCTCAGGAGTCCAGAGGTGTTGGGGAGGAGCTGGGCACCTCAGGACAGATTGGGAAGCTCCAGGCAGTGCCTGATGAGTGCAAGGCAAGGAGATCCTTTTGTGGCCACACATGCACAGGGGTAAGCAGTTTTAATAGTCTTTTCTTTCAAGGTTTCTGTACAAGGTAGAGGCAGTGCCCCCTCGCCTCTGCCTCCCCTCCTCCCTGTGAATCAGAAGACCCCAAGTGGGGCTATACCAAGTTTGGGGCCAGGTACCAGCACTTCTGCCTCTTGGAGACCCCAGACCCACCACTCACCATCTGTGGCCCATCAAGCTACAGCTCCATAGACTGTGCTGAGCTTTCCAGCCTACAGAACCCACATTAGCCTTGGGAGGGTTGCATCTCTCCAACCAGCCTAGAACCATGAGGACATCAGGGTAAAAAAAAGGAGTGACCTGATGTCTCAGGACAGACACTTGCATTCTGCATCCTGAGCCCTGACCTTGGGCCTCTGACTGCCCATTTGTAATAGGAAGCTAGCAGGCCTTAGACTGCCCATCTCTCAGCTCATAAGCCCTGAAAGAGGGTGCATATGACTGGTGTAACCAGACATGATAGATAACCAAAGGTGCCCATCCCTTCCCAGACAATCCTGGAGATGAGACTGCCTCCCAGAGGGCCTGGCCCACGGGGTTGGGGACCTAGGCTGGCACCCAGGGCCTCCAGCAACTAAAATTTACCACCAGGCCAGATTCCCAGAAAAAACCTGAGAAGGATCCCCAGTGACCTCAAGCCTCCACCCTAATTCGATTTATTTTGAAGAAATAGGAAAACCCCTATGAGCAACTGTTCTATGGCACAGTCAAGGACTCTGGGCCAGAGCCAGACTGCCTGGATTCAAGTTCTACTCTGCCGCTTCCCAGTTGGATAACTGGGAGGAGAACAATTTGCTTGACTTCTCCATAGAACTGTGGTGGATTAAGTGTTTAGAACCAAATGTTATGTCAAAGTGACTTGGGGCGGGGTGGGGGGAGGGGTGCTGCCTCTAGGAAGGAATCCCACTGGGTTCATGTGGTTAGCCAGGCTAAATCACTAGTGAGAGGCCCAGGGTCCCTCGAACCAACAGGGCAGAAGAGGATCTTAGGAGTTGCCAGGAAGGCCTCCAATGCCAAGGCCATGATGTTTATGCTGCGAGAACCAGGCGACCTGCTGGTTTGCATTAGGCCCCCACCCCTGGGCAGCTGTAGCCTATTAGTGCTGGGCTCAGCAGAGGCACAACACAGGCTCAACCCCCACCCCAGCCCCAGCCCCAGCAGATCCATGCTCCCTCCACTGCAGGGCCCTAGGTCACCACCTAGTGGGTAGCTTTGAACTTCCCTGCCAGCCCACTGTCTCCATGCTGTCCAAGTTGAGCCACCCTGTGTTCTCTCGCACTGCCCACTGCTTTCCCTCCTACCCCAGCTCAGCTACACAGCTCCATAACCCCCAGGGGGGCCGAGCCCTTTATCGCGCCTTTCCCCTCTACTCCCCTCCCCCAGCACAGCTTGGCTTGGGGTGTTCTGTACAAGTGCAGTAGAGGGGGATCTGGTTTCTCCAACCAAGCCCGCACACCACACCCCAGCACAGTTTGGGTCAGTGCCTCCCCGTCATGAGAGGGAAATGGGGCTAAATACTTAGGGAAGTTGTGAGAAAACTCGTGAGCTGTACTCTAGGGGCAGGGCTATGATTTTGCTGACCTGCCAGCAGCCAGCCCCCAGTGTCAAGGATCACTGAGGTATGCCCTTGCCAGGTGAGCCCATCTCCACGGACTCCTGACTGTCCCTCAGGTTTGCAGTGCTGGCCTAGGATGCCCCTCCCCAATAACTCAGTCCCACTCTACCCACTCCAGGAAGCCCATCATGACCTCCCCTGAGGTGAACCCTGTCCTTCACCAAGGCCAAGACAGCAATTCTGCTCATTTCCAACCAGCCACTCCCACCGACCAGACACGCACTCAACAAGAATCTTCACTACGTCAGTCACCTCCAGGTTCCTGTCTCTGCCTCCTCACTTTGCAGGTGCTATTGTCTCCGCCTAGACTGCCCTTCCTCTCTCTCTTTGCTCGAGTAAATGTTAACTTTCAAGTCCCAGTTCCCTCCAAGCAGCACAATGAGCCCACCAGACTGAGCTATTCAAACTGCTCCTTCCTGCCAGATCCCTTGTGACCAGGTGCCATCAGCCTCTCACAGGGCTGTGCCCTGGGGCTCCCCAGCAGATGAGCTACAGGCCAGAGAAGCAAGAGGGGAACAGCTGGGGCTTTCATGGAGATGAGTCCCCCATCCCCTCCCTTCTCATCCAACCTCCAGCCCCTCCTCCAGCTTGACAGCCACAGCCAAGGCCATTCCCTATCTTGGTCATGCTGACCACACCCTTGGCCAAGCTATGGCTGGGAAGTGAGCACAGAAGTGTCCCATGTAGCCTTCTCTGCCAGACACCTTCCAGCCTCCCTTTTCCCTAGCCCCTGACGTTGATGCTTGACTGCATGGTTTGTCCCACACTGGGCCTCAGTGTTCTTATCTAACCAGTGGGTACACAGTCCCTCCCTTGCCACCTCCCAGGCCAGTGCAAGGATACACCATGAGTCAGATGAGGAAGTGGGTTGGGAGGAAGGAAGAGACAAGGCAGCCCTGAGGTGACTGGCCGGTCAGAAGCATGTAGACTGCTCTGGGCTGGCCTCAGCCTGCGGCCTATGGGAGCTGAGCCAACTGTCCATGCACCGATGCAGGTGCAGGATCAATGCCGCAGCTGCCAGGAGTCTCCCAGATGCCTCAGCGCTGGGGGAATGTCCCAGTCTGTGCCCCTTTCTCTCTGTTCCCATCTCTTTTTCCACCAGGGTCTCTCCTCACCCTTCATTTGGCTTTGGGCATTCCTCCCCTTTTTGGCGTTCTTTTTTTGCCCCATCTCTGCCCCTGAGATGTTTTCTCTGGCTCTGGATAGCCTTGTTTTGAGGGCCTCCTGTTCTGGCCTTGGGGAAGGCCCTTGCAATCTTTTGGGACAGACCATCCAGGCTGTTTTATGGCACCTGCCTGGGACCCTAGCCTCTGCTCCATTTCCTCCCCTGGAATCCAGACCAAATCATCCTGAGCAGGCCCCAGAGTTCCTGTTCACTCATAAGGTAGAATACCTAGGGGATCCTGCTGCAGCCGGGCATGGACTTGTATGTAAACACAAGTGTACATGTGGGGAGGAGTGAGGGATGTCAGGATGCGGATATTGTGAGAGTGACCCAGGATAGGGCAGCAATCAGCTTGGGGTAGGGGTGGGGGGCCCAGAAAGGGATCTGAATGACGACACAGGTCACACGAGAAGCCCACAGAGGCCTCCTCTCCACAGTGGTGACCCAGTCACCACCTGGACCCCGCCAGGTCCAACGACCATGGTCCCCACCCTGCTGCCTGCTCAGCCTGGCAGCGTTCCTTTGCAGCCTTCTGCCAGCACAGCCAGCCCCCTGCCCCCACTGGTGTCCATGCCAGAGCAGCATTCCGCAAGCCTGGCTGCATCTCCCTAGCAGAGGCTGAGCAGAGAGGGAGGCCACTCAGCAGTGGTCAGGTCACACTGCAAGGGCGAGCGCAGTGGGGCCTGGGCCTCTGGCCCCCACTCCTCCAGTGTCACTATCTCCTGGTCCTTGGCCAGTCGTCTTAAAGGACTTTATCACTACAGCTGTGGTCCAGAGTCTTACATCTGCCCTGGGCGGCCCTGTGCAGCCAGAGGAGACCACAGGTAGGTATGGGTCCACCAGAGCCAAGTCCTGGAGGCACAAAGCAAAATGAGCTCTGGGCTGCCCTGGGGTAGGAGTGGGAGGCCGGACCAGTTTGGAACCCCAGACTCACCCCCAGGTCAGAGCAGCCCAGGCCAGAGGGTGGGGGTGGTGAGCGAGGCTGGGGTGCGGTGTTCAGTCCCTCAGCGTGGGATCACTCAGGGGAGCGGGCGGAAGCCTTTTCTGCAGCGGGTTGGGGACCCGGCGAGCCCAGCGTCCCGATTTCACGACAGCCTCCTTCCCTGGCCCCGCCTCCGTGGCGCGGCCGGAGGGCACCGAGGTTAGACTCCAGGACGAACTTCCCTGCAGAAAGGGGGCTCAGCGCGGGAGGGTGGGGCCAGGGTCGATTTGCTCCGTGAGCAGTGGGGACGAGTGGGAGGGCGGGGGCGCGGGCACCCCACGCAGGGCGGACTGCACGGGGACGACGCACACCACGCGTGTCCGCGCGCCCCGCCGGCACGCAGGGCGGCCTGGCCCTTTAAGCGTCCAGACGGCGGCCCCAGCTGACGCGCGGGCTCCAATCGGCGCCCCGCGCCCCCCGCCCGCCGCGCCCGAGGCTCTGGGGCCGCAGCTGCTCCGCGCTGGACT